GAGAGAGAGAGAGAGAGAGAGAGAGAGAGAGAGAGAGAGAGAGAGAGAGAGAACAAGAACCAGGTCTAAAACCCGCTGACTGGTGCCTAGCCATGCGCCATGCTCTGGATTTGACTCCCAACGCCAAAAAACAAAATGGTGATTGGTTTTTGGAATGATCAGTATTCAGTTATTTCTCTGTCAGGAGTGAAAGCTAGCAGTTTGGTCAACCCAGTTAGGCTCTCTCTGCCTGCTGTCCTTAGTATACAGCCCAGGTTCACTCAGAGGGAGGCAGCCCTGCAGTCCTCTCCCCACGCGGGCATGGCTGATGCAGTCTACGCAGGCCCGCACAGAAGTACGGTCCATCTGCCTCCTCCTTTCTCTATAATCCTGCCATTTCTTCATGCCCATCACCTCCCTGCAACTTGAGATCCCATAAGGAAAGCCACCGTGGCGTCCCAGTATGACAGTGCCTTTGTTGAACAGCGACACCCACAGGTGACAGCAGGCAGCTCCCTTCTACTGCATGGCAGTCTGTACCAGAGCTGAAACCCATCAGTACTGCTTTAGGCAAGTAAGAGCAAAGTACTATTCTGGGTTTAAAAAAAACCTACACAGAACTATCTTTGTCATATTTGTTGTCAAAAAGGAATGTACTAAAACTTCTCTCCACATTGGAATACAAAAACATCAAAACACACCATGCCCTTCAACTAGTCCTTGCCTGGGTTGTATGGGTTGGCTGGAAAGACGCAGTCTAGTTTCTGAGTGCTCAACGCTGGGCCATGCACACAAGCAGCATGTGTTCTCCCACTCTTGGCTTTTGGAGACGGGGTCTTGCTGTGCCTTGAACTTGCGGGGGTCCTCCTCCATCAGCCTTCTGAGTCCTGGGGTTACAGGCGTGGGCTACCATACCTGGCTCACAATCTTGTTTTAATCTTTGCATTTATACTACATTTTGCTACATTTCTAAGGTTTTAAATTTAGTTTAGAAAAACCCAGATACTCTATTCTGATTTCTCTGACTATTCAATAAGCAATCCAACATGCTCCTAAATACTAAGGAAACATCCACTAGTTTAGACTATACAAGTCATACACGAGACAGAAACATCTCCTGGCATGCTCTGGACTGTCCCTGCCCAGAGGTGGCTGTGAGGCCGGGCCGCCTCAAACTCGGGAAATACTGAAGAGAGACAAAGGAAAAACCAAGAAGGCAGCATGGCAGGGAGATGAAGGGAGGAGAAATCCTCAGGAAGAAATTATGACACTCTCATGTTTCAGGGAGAAGGCCAGGGCAAACCTGAGTCACACTGAGCCCCTGCGCTTGGAGGAGCTCTTCTCACAGCTCGGGCATGGAGGCAGCCCTGCTCCTTGCTCCCGGCGGCCCAGGAGCGGCCCCTGGGCGCTCCCACAGCACACATACGTCAGCCTGTCCTAGCAGTGCACTTCAGGTCCCAAGGAGCGTGGGTGGTGAACATGGAAGCAAACAGCACATCAGACTCTGTGGCTGGCAGGGGCAGGTGGAATCCCGAGAATGCAGCCTCCAGAGAACGCTGGGGCGTTGCTTGTGGACCCAGCAGGCTGTGCTGTTGGGAGGCAAGACGGGCCCTGGAGGCGGCACCAAGCTTCAGGGCTCCATCTACCTGCGGCCTCTCACAAGTGTCTGGTACCACGTCACTGGAGGGTGACAGAGGGAGCCGTGAGGTCGTCAGTGTGCAGCTCTGCCTATGGACATCTCACTGAGAGATGATGACACAGAGCCGGCCTGCGGGTGCTGTGCAGGGCAGGGTGCAGGCCCGGGCCTGAAGCTCCCTGGCTCTGCTTCTCTGGGGATCATGGGCCAGGCTTAGTGTCACGCCCCATTGGACAGTGGCCAGCGTAAGGGCTCAGCAGCCTGCTCCAGGACCCCACACACATGTGTACCTGGTGTGAAGGGACTGGCTGCCCGAGGTGAGGACAGCAGCACAATCCAGGAGGGGTCACGCCTGGAACCTGGATCCATCCTGGGCCTTCTCTACTCAGTGCCCCCACTGAGCCTTGAGAAAGGGCTACCGATCCTTGAGAGGACCCTGAACGTGAGGCCTCTGCTCAGTCCTGGTGGGCCAGAGGCTATTTCTGTAAACAAAGTTTGCCACACACACACAGCTGCCCTCACTTGGAGAGCTGATTGCTCCGTCTGCAGTGTTCTGGCTACAGAGCTAGCAGCTGTGACACACACTGTGCAGTCTGCCAAGCCTGGGATATTAACGCCTCAGCTGGACAAGGTGTGCAAGCCTGTAATCCCAGCACTCAGGAGGCTGAGGTAGGAGGACTACACGAGTTCACAGCCAGCCTTACATAGTGGGTTCAAGGCCTGCCTGAACAGTCTCAGAAAAAAGGTTAAAGATACAATATTTACACTGGCCCTTTATCAAAATATCACCAACCTCTGTAGATAATAAGCTTGGAGGAAACTTGCTATGCAGCAATAGGTACTTCATGACTCTGCTCCTACATCATCCACTTTGTCCCGTTGGCAACACCTAACTGAATTAAACACCTAGGTAAATAAATTAATTATTTATCTGTGTGCCCTTTTCCCCTTCAAACCTAACTAGGCATTAGTAAATAAGGAACTTGTTAATCAATGTCATTTCTCCAAATTCTCAGTATACAGTAGGACTTTAATAAATACACACTGAACAAAACCCACTCATACAGACACAGTTCAGAGCAGCATCTTCTTTAAGCAGGTACGGCACTGAGGGGAGCCGAGGAAGGGCCGAGGATATAGCTCTTGGCACAGCGCCTGCCTGACAAGCCCAGGTCCTGAGTTCCATTCCCGGTTTAAAAAAAAAAAAAAAGATGAGCCAAGGATTCAGGATGAAGAGCTAGATTTCTAGCTAACCCATTTAAACATATCTGTTGACTGCCAAAGTATGATTTCAAAGCCAGAATTTTGAGCTTTTAAGCTGGTATGAACTTGTACAATTTTATTGCCTAAAATACCTGTAGCATCAATTATCTTTGATAGCTCACTGCCATTTTTCTTACCACAAAACACTCTTTCCTAGAATCTATGCATATTGCAATTTTCTGGAACACTGAAAAATTTCAGTTCTGACCCGACAAATTCTATACATTTGAAATAAAAACTAACACTGACACTGACAGCAGAAACTGTCACATACAAGATGCTTGCTCTGTGCGACACTGAACTACAGCTTCCTGTCTCACTCTTCTAGGGCCAGCCAGATACAGGCAATAAAAGCCCAGTGTTCACCTGGGTGTTGGTGGGGCACACCTATTAAGCTCAGCAGTCTGTGGTCATCTTACACAGAGGCTGAGGCAGAGGGATCCAAAGTTCAAGCCCAGCCTGGACAACGGAGCAAGACCCTGGTTCAAAATAATACAAATCTAAAAAGTCTGGGAATATAGCTCAGGGCAAAGGTCATGAGGTTAATCCCCAGTGCTGCAAAAACAAAAACCAATCAACCAAGCTAGAAACCTGGTTGTTCTTGTAGTAAATTACATAGTAATGTGACATTTTCTCTGGCAAATATCTAGGAAGAAGAGGTAGGTAAAATTCATTGTTTCAAATGTGCTACCACAGGCATGCTTAGGAGGTTAACCTTTACTTTTCTGTTCAATGGTAAATTTTTAACTTTTCAGATATGACCAAGTGTATTCAGAAAGTCCTTGTAACAAATCTCAATCTGAAGCCCAATTGGGTGGCACGGCTCCATGGTGACTGTCTGCATTCTGGTCTGACCACTCAGACACCCCCCTGCCAGGTCACCTACCTGCACTTTCTGGTCCTGCCCGCAGGGCTGCGGCAGCCTGGGAAGAAAGCCCTCACCACATCCCCAGCAGGAGGTGAGTAGGTAGGAGAGGCCAAGATGGCCTTCAAAATCGACTGAAAGGCCAAGATGGCCTTCAAAATCAACCGGCGACTTTGTCCTGGTGCAGAACTCTTCACTGCTCCTTGAACAGGCCTAACTGGCGAGTACAAACAGTGCTCTTTTTCATTTCAGCACACAGCTGAAATTCTAGCATTATAGAAACGTGTTAGATGACGAGAG